TGGACGTTCATTGCAGTATTAATCACCATCACCAACGTGTAGAGACATCAGGAATGTCCATCAGTGGGTAAACCAGCAACAGGCAGCCATCCACACAGAGAGCTATTACTCAGCCATCAAGGAAATAAAGCCCTGAAACGTGCCAGGGCACGGAAGGGCCTGGATTGTGTGACTCCATTTGTGTGGAATGTCTGAAGTACGTAAATCCTGAGAGCCAGACCTTTAGTACTTTCCCAGGGCTGGGGCTATGGACGGGTTAGAGCTAGGAGTGCAGAGTGATTTTTGTGGGGGGCATGGGCGAGACGGGGGAACTAAGACGTCCTAAAATTGAGGTAGAGGTTGCACAACTCTACAAATTACCTAAAAGTCTTGGGGTGGGGTGCAACTTTCACCATGTTGCCCAGGCTGCTCTCAAACTCCTGGGCTCAAGCAAACCTCCTGCCTCAGCCTCCCAAGTAGCTGCACTATTGGTGTGCATCCCATGCTTAGCTCACTGAAGGCCATTGAATCGTATGCCTACCATGGGGTGAATTGCAGCCAGTAAAGTTATGATCGATAAAAAGTTACAGGAATTAGAAGTCGCATTGCTTTTCCCTGTGTAAAGAACTCGCTGTGCTCAGAAGTCTGCAGATGCCTGAGCAGAACCGTAAAGGATCCGGTGCCACCCAGACCCTGCCCCTGCTCGGTGGCAGCCACCACGCAGGGTGCATTTTCTGAATGGGCTGTAAAGCAGCGTAACCGCAGCCAGCCCTGGAGCTTCCTCTCGCCCGTGTCCTGATGACCATCTGCACCTTACTGCTGTGGGAAAACCCAAGCCACCCGAGGAAAACTGCTTCCTCTGGCCCACAGCCCACCGGTGTTCCTGCCCCTGAAGCTCTGTGCTGCCCCCTGTGCCATCCGACACCACCCATGCCAAGCCAGCCTGCTGTTCCCACGCCCACGGCAGCTCCTCTTTCCCTCCTTTTTAGTTTTTGGAAACGGTCTCGCTGTGCAGTTGAGGCTGGTCTCGGACTGCCTCAGCCTCCGGAGAGCTGCCATCACACCTGTTCTCCCCTTCTGCGTCTCACTCTCTGCCGCACGTCTCCTCCAGCCTCTTCCTCCTCGAGCGCTGGCCCCATCTCTGTGGCTCCCTTTGTGGCACAGAGAAGTCGCCCAGGCCACAGACACCGGTAAGTGGCCCTTCCTTTGCGTCCCGTGCCCTGCTGTGCCCCTCCCTGGGAACCACATGTTGCCAGTGCCATCTCCCTCCCTCGAGCCGGGCTGAAGCGGGGCCCTCCTCCCGCCTGGCTGTCTTCAGAGCTCCGGCCTCAGGTGCGCCGTTGGTTTCTCTCCTTCTCCCCTGACCGGTGATCCAGGTTGCTCTGACTGTCTCCCCACCCCTCACTCTGTGCTCAGTGGCTTCCAGGGGCCCTCGCTGGCTGGTCCCTGGTTCCCGGCACTCTGAATCTCGCCTCGCTTACCCAGGCTGCCTGACGTCTCTACTCAGGGCCTCGGGGGCTCCCCAGAGAGCCCAGGACCAGGTGTGGGCTCCAGGACTCTGTGCCCAGCATGTGCACCCTGCACCCCAGCACATCCTGCTCTGCCCGAATCTGCCCGTTGGAGCCCAGGCCCCCGGGCAAGAGGAGCCCTCGGGGCCGCGACTGGTCACATGGACAGCAGGGGACAGTCGAGGGTGCTTCCTGAATGCACCTTTTCATACAGTCTGAATGTTTGGGATCGTGTTCACACACACACACACACACACACACACACACACACACAATCAACCAAGTGGGTGTGGGGGCTAAAAACTCAATCCAACGAGGGTCCCTGGAAGCCACTGGACACAGACTCCCAGGAGGATTGCAAGTTTGAGTACAGCCTGGACAATTTAAGGAGAACCTGCCTCAAAATAATAACAAGGGTGGGGATGTAGTGGTCTGTGAAGTCCCTGGGCTCAGTCCCAGCACCTGACCCCGCCAAAGGCACATGGGAAACATCAGACAAGTCCAAATCAAGGACATTTTACACGATATCCAGCCTGAGCATGCGAACAACACCGATGTCTGGAGATCAAATATGAAGGAACCGTTCGAACATCAGGGCTGAGGTCGTGACCCGTCAGGGCGCTCGCCTGGGGACCTGTGGGAAAGGCGTTTCCTGTGGCAGTGCAGCAGAGTTGGAGGTCAGGGGCGGTCCCAGAGCACTGCTGGCTCCTGACTCTGACAGTGTGGACCATGACTCTCTAATTTTAGAAAATACAGGGGTGCTGGGCATGGTGCTGCACACCTGTAATCCCACACTCAAGAGGCTGAGGCAGGAGGATGGCTGCAAATTCCAGATTAGCCTGGGTTACATACTAAGTGTAGGGCCAGCTTGAACTACAAAGCAAGACCCTGTCTCAAAACAACAACAGAAAGAAAGAAAGAGAAAGAGAGAGAGAGAGAGAGAAAATTCAGGATAAGCATCCCAAATGCTTGGGATAACAGAAAACAGACAGACAGACAGTGTGTGTTGTGGACAGGGAGACCAAATGCAATTCGTATATTAATATTGTGAGACTTTCGTAATGGGATCTGGTAAATCTTTGTATTGTTCTTGCCAAAATCACATTTTTCTTTTTTCTTTCTTTCTTTCTTTTTTTTTTTTTTTTTTTTTTTTTTTTTTTTTTTTTTTTTTTTTTTTTCCAGTACCGGGGATTGAACTCAGGACCTTGCTCTTGGGAGGCAGGTGTGGTGCCACAGAGCTACATCCCAGGCCCTCACATCTTTCTTGGTGGGGAGCTGGGAACTGAACCCAGGGCTTTTTCACTGAGCTACATCCTATCCCCTTTCATTTTGAAGCAGTCTTGCTAAGACACTAAATTTCCCAGGCTGGTATCCAATTTCTGATGCTCCTGCCTCAGCCTTCCAGAGTGCTGGGATTACAGGTGTGTGCCACCGCGCTGGCTAAAATTACACCAAACATTTTTTTTTTTAATTTAAAAATCTGTGCTGGGGTCGAGGATTTAGCTCAGTGGTTCTGCCACACACACACACACACACACACACACACACACAAAACAAACAAAACAAGCAGCCTAAGAGATTACCAAAACTTTGGACAGCTTAAGCCTAAAACACATTTTCCATTAACACTTCCTCAAGGTGTGGCCGGTCTATCCTCTCTGAAGGCTCCCAGGTGACCCCAGGCAGGGGTCTGGTCCAGCCCGGGCTGGCTGCACCCTCATCAGGCCCTTCCACGCACCTCCAAGTCCAAATCCCTCTTCTGGGAGGAGGCGGATCCTGGATCACACACACTGCATTAACCTCCAGCCAGTCTCACTAGATCTCATCCTCACAGGTGCGACTTCCAAACAAAGCCATCTCCCCAGGGGCCAGGGGTTAGTGAAAGAGATTAACTTTGGGAGCTGGGACGCCCGTCCCTGGAAAGTGCTTCTGTTCTTGCCACTTGCAGTACGGAAAATCATAGTCACAGTAATAACGGTAATGACCCAAAGGGGTGCAGCTCGGCGGGAAAGCATCATCTAGCAGGCTTGGAAGTGGGTTCCGTCCCAGCATGGAAATAATAATTCAGAGCAGACCAAAGGCCCAGCTGGACCCCCACCCTGGTCACTGCGGAAACCCGGGCCCCCGCCCGCCTTAGGTCTGCCTCTTCCCGGTTGCTTCCGGCCTCGCTGACCTCGGGCTGCTCTGACCCGGGCCTTCCTGCGGCGCCTGCCAAGGCGGTCAGTCCAGACCTTCCTCCCCACACTCGGAGAGGTCCCTGGAGCGACTCGAGGTTTCTGGGTTGCCCATCCGTGGACAGGTGGTACACGTTACCCCTCTGAGTGTCGCGCACAGGGTAGGGACATTGGTCGGCCCCAAAGCGCTGTCACTGGCCACCGACCTCCTGTGTCCCGTAGGAACCAGGAAACAGTTCCTCTTCTTCCTCTTGCACCCCTCCTCCTCCCTTCACCGCGGCCACCCCTTTTCTTATTTTTTTAAGACAGGGTCTCGCTCCAACTCCTGGCCATCCTCCTGCCTCAGCCTCAGCACTGCCGGGATTGCAGGCGCCACCAGCTTGCCCTTAAACCAGGCAAGAACAGGGAACACTCAGGTGGCCCAAGTCCTGCAAGGACGACCACGCCGAGGCGGGATGGGGAGTCAGGGGTCTAGACTGATTCCAGGGCGAGCAAGGGGAAGGGCCGGTCGGGGCCCAGCCGGGAGGCGCAAGGTAGGGTCTGGGGAGGGGTGAGACGGGGTTGGGGCAAGGGGTCGGGCAGCCGGCCGGTCCAGACCCAGGGGAAAGGGGAGATGGCTGGG